CTTGACAGCTGGGAGCATGGACTTTTTTTTTTTAAGGTTTATTTATTTATACACACAGAATCTGGGGTACAGGCCAGAGGTGCAGGGCGGTGAAAGGAGTCACGAGAGAGAGCGGGGAGCAGAACAGGCAGATCGACGAAGTCACTGCTGAGGGGAGCAGTGGGCAGGTCAGGAGAGGTCTGCCGCGCCCTGTGGGTCACCTCTTCAGGCGGGGATCGAACTCATGCTGCAGTGGCTTTAGCTTCTTAGTGCAGTGCTTTGACCCACTGCGCCACCAGGGAGGACCTGGAGCTTGGACTTTTGATCTTTTCTTCTGCCCAGGCATGTTCGTGAGCTTGTTTTGCGTTCAGACTCCACGTGGAAGTGAGGTGGCATGTATTTGTTTTCCTCTGACTTAACTAACGCCCTGTTGGCGCACGTGACAGGGCCGCCCTCCCTGATGTCTGAACCCCATCCAGTGAGGCTCAGACGCCACAGCTCCCCCGTCCATCGTCCCGAGCTGACCACATCGATGGCGTCCCTGTTCTGGAGGTTGTTCTCTCAGTGCCCAGAGTTCCTGCGGTCAAGCAGGCAGGGGCCTCTGCCCAGGACAAGTCATGCTGTGGGGAACACACTGGGTGACCAGTATCTTCTGAAGAGCAGGCCCCTCTGTGGCCAGCTGGGCGGGGCCCCCAGACCACATACATGCACAGACTGGCAGCAAGTGCGGAAGAACGGGACCAGAGACAGGGTGCTGTTGTTCGTGGCGCCGAGGGAGCCATAGCCCCTGGCCACCACCCCCAGCTGGCCCCAGACAGCGACGCCGCCCGCTGACACCCCATGTGCGTGACCCCCCCCCCCCGGCCCTGGTTCTAAGCAAAAACCAAGACCGCCCTTTGCTGGGGTGGCGCCTTCTGCCATCCTCCCTCAGGCTCTCCAAGTCCAGTTTGGGAAACGAGCAATCTGCCTCATCCACGCTGCTCCTCCTAGTGTTGCACTAAACAGGGATGATGTCGCTAGTCGCTAGTCTTGTTTTCTTCACATAAATACCCAGATTTCTGGTTCTTTTTTTAACTTTCTTGAGGAAGCTCCATGCTGTTTTCCTTAGCAGCTGCACCAGGGCCCCGTCTCCACATCAGCACCAACCCGTGCTCTTTCCAGTCCTTTCCAGGGAAGCCGTTCTCACAAGGGGGAGGCAGCGCCTCGTGGTGGTTTTCACGCGTTTGCCTGAGGGTCAGTGACGTGGGGCGTGCATCTGCTGGCCGCCTGTCTGTCTTCTCGGGAAAAGCATCTACTCAGATCCTCTGCCCGTTTCTTTCTTTCGCTGATGAGTTCCAGCAGATATTTTCGGATACTCTTTAGAGTCTTGATTTGCAAATCATAGGGTTCTTTCCTGTTCAAAATGCCAGTGGATTTGTAATGGGGTGAACTGGATCTTCAGATTGTTCTGAGCAGTGCGGACCTTTAAACAATTCTCTTACAATCCACGAGCATGTGCTGTCTTGTCATCAACTGTCTTCAATTTATTTTATCAGTGTTTTATACTTTCTAGTACGTAAGTTTTCACCTTCTTGGTTAACTTTATTCCCATGTTTTAGTCTCTGATGCAAATGTAAGTGGAACTGGTTTCTTAATGTCTGAGCACTTGTTATTTGTACCTAGCAATGCAACAGGCTTTTATGTTGGGTTTGTATGCTACAACTTTACTAAATTTGTCTGTCAGGTTTCATAGTATCTGCTGGAGTCTTTAGCTTTGTGTCTAATGCCTCTGGAGAAACTGTCAGTCTCATCTCCCAATGCGGTGCCTTGTCCTTTCTTTCCTCATCGCACGATGACATTCAGACTGGGACGAACAGAAGCAGAGTGGTGTCCTTGTCTTGAAAAGGATGAAGAAAAGCTTTCACCGTCACTGTGGGTCTAACAATCACGGACAGTCTTTGAGTGCTTTATATCCTCTTTGCTGAAAGTTTTAGCCATAAACAGATGTTGAATTTGGGCAAGCGTCCCTCTGCAGCTTGGGACATGACACGCTCTCCTGTCTCACCTTGACCGTGTATATAGCACATGGATTGGTGTACGGATGCCGAACACTCTGTGTGCCTGGGATACTTCCACTCCTCGTGGAGTTTGAGCCTCTTAACTATATATATGACTGAATTTGATTGCTGACATTTTTTTTTATTTGTGCATACAGAACTGGGGTACAGGCCAGAGGCTCAGGGGAGTTGAGAGGCTTCACCAGAGACAGAGTGGGGAGCAGAACAGGCAGATCGACGAAGTACGCTGCTGAGGGGAGCAGCGGGTGGGTCAGGAGAGGTCTGCCGCGCCATGTGGTCACCTCCGGGGCAGGCGGGAATCGAACTCATGCGGAAGCGGCTTTAGTTTCTCAGTGCTGTGCTTTAACCCGCTGCGCCACCAGGGAGGGCCTGGTTGCTGACATTTTATTGCGAATTTTGGGTCCATGTTCTTAGAGGGTGTGAGTCGCCTTCTGTACTGCACATTCCGTCAAAGAGAAGGAAACAGCCTGGGGGCAAAGGGAAAGCATGACCCTGCTCTCCCTGACAGTGACAGTGCCCAAGGGGGAAAGGCCGACAGCGCCCTCCCCTCCAGGCGGGGAGATGTGGCCTAAGGTGAAAGGACAACAGGAAACAAGAACCAGCAGGTGCACAACTGAGCCTGGCTGGGTTTGTCCCTGTTGTGAGGAAATGGGAACCTGCTGCCAGAACAGCCCCAGCGCTGGTGCGCAGGCGTCGCCACGGATGCCAGGGCTGGAAGGGCCTTCGGGGGGCTGCCTTGGTCAGCCCTCTGTTGTGCATCCTGCCCCCTGGGCCCCTACTCTGCACTTTCTCGCCTACAGCCTTTGCCAAGCGTGGCAGGGCCAGTGCTTGACTGGGGGCTGTCCAGACAGGCCGAGTTGTTCACCAAGTCAGTGGTGCCTGTCGCTAAACTGTAGGTTCCGCCCCTCCTCCTCTGTGTGATGGGAAAGCACGGGCTTGCATCCCGGTTATGAACTCTTCACATTTGATGGGCGACACACTCTGGGGCCAGAAATAACACCGATGACCCCACCATGTGTTTTTGCCCTTAGTTCGCCCTGTGATTTTTAAAATCTGTAATTACTTGCTTTCAGCACCTGCAAGGTTCATTCTGACAAGATATAAAATGGTATGAATAAGATTAGGTTGCAGCGGGGACCGGCTGGGGGCTTATGTTGGCTCTGTGGACCTTCTTGTCACGCCTGCACACATGTGCTCACTCGCAAACTTACCGGTAAATAACATCTCCCAGATGCGGAGCTGAGTCTTAGCAGGCTAAGCCCCCAAAAGCCCAAGCGGGGTAGTGTGTGTGGCCTTTCACTGTAGGTCCTGGGGGACCTCTGAGGGGTGGTGGTCCTGTCTGGAAGGGAGGGGGACCACGTCGTCTTCATTGTCGCCCAGAACAGAGCGGAACGAGAGGGTGCCGGACTAGTGTTTTATTTCAGGAAGATAAATCCAGCGAGGCCGAGAGGGTTGAAGAGACCGGAGCATGGAGAACAGTTTACATGTCGTTGCTGGGTTACAGAATGCGGTGCTGAATGAACAGCAGCCCTGATGTGACAGACTCGGGGAGCGGGAGTGGCCAGGCCCTGGATAAATGTCCCCTCTTGTATGTAGCAGCTTCTCCCTGGGCACCCTGTGTGGGCTGGATCCAGGCTGGGAAGTACTGTGCTGTCTCATGGAATTTAAGGTTCTAAGTGGGAGAGGAGTTGGCGGGGCCCAGTGCTGCAAAAGGCCCACCCCGGTTATTTAGGATTAGGCCCTCTGTCAAATTAGTTACCTGGAGATAGTAACCACGTCTGCAAGTGACGGGATACCTGGGCACTGCAGGCGAGCCAGCCCACGGGCCACGTAAGAATGCACGTGAAGAGAGCGGTGAGAACGTTAGGAAGTGGCTGCGGGCTCAGGGAGGCGTCCGTTGGGATGGGCAGATCTCCGTTTTACTGGCGGGTTAGCGGATGGCTCGCACACACGACCAGCTTTGCTGTCCCCAGGGCTCGGCGTCCTGGGGCCATGAGAGACCCCTTGTTCGGAGCAGGACCTGCGTGTGGGGCTTTAAGACCGGGAGGTGCCAGTGGCGTTTAGGGGAGCGGGCTGGTGCCTAGTCCCGGGCTTCTGCTCAAGTCAGTCATTCTGGAGCACGCCCTCCCCAGGCCCAGCCCTGGCACTTCGGGGACCGTCCTAAGGCCGTAAGCTAGGGCAAATCTCTGGGTTCTGAGCCCACCAGTCCTGGGTGTTTAGCTCTGGGCTGCTGGCGGCTTACTCTCCTGTGCCGGCTCTCGGCACCCCAGCCTGGGGGGGCGTCAGCTCACTCTGGGCCCTGACAGGGACCCTAACCCAGCTCTACTAGCTGTAGATCACGAGCGGGAGCGGGAGGAGGTAGTTCCTGTGCTCGGAGCCTTCTTGCGCAGTTGAGGCTGAAGCCCCCTGATGCAAAGGGAGAGGAGCATGGGGGAGGGGGGCCTGGCAGGGCGGCCCTGGGGACCCCGCTCCTCTTGCCCCAGGTGGGAAGTTCTGCCTGTGGTCAGTGGCGGACAAAGGCCTGTGACGCCCGTGGTCCCGGGGTCCTGATCCACGTGGGCTTGCGACAGCTGAGTCTGAAGGCCTCTGCACTCCCTGGACACTCCGCTGCCCGGTGCCACCCGTGTGGCCAGGGGTCACAGCTGCAGCCACCTCCGCCCTCTACCCGGTGGGAGGAGTCAGACTTGACTCTGCCCCATCCTGTGACCACGGGAAAGAACTGTGGGTTGATGAGGAGCGGCCTGTACTGGACGCCTGGACGGCCGCACGGGGTCTCACTTGCATTCTCTCCAGGAAAGTCTTCCGCGTGAAAGATACGTGGGTTTCGACATTCTCTCCATTTCCCAAGGCGCGGCGGCCGGTCCCACCAGCGCCCCCGGGGCGAGCGGGCAGGACCCTGGCCCTGGAGGGCGGCATGACGGGCCCTCACAGCTGCCGCTCTAAGACGTGTGGTTCTCATTGCAGGCATCTTTTCCACAAGTCCTGTGTTGACCCCTGGCTTCTAGACCACCGCACCTGCCCCATGTGCAAGATGAACGTTCTTAAAGCCCTAGGGATCCCGGTAAGCACGGCGCAGCCGGCGGCATCGCCATGTCTGTCTTTCCGCACCCCCTCGGCAGGGCGAGCACCCCACCCCGGGAAGTGTCCCCGGCCCCACGCTCTCGCTTTCCCTCAAGTGGCGAACGTCACCCTCCCCTCCCCGGGCTGTGAGTCTCACTGCTGCCGCGGCAGCGGAACTCCTCCTGAGAGCATGGGGCTCCACGGTGGTTTGGGGCTCCTGGCGGGCTGCTCCATCACCCAGGAGACCTGCAGGCCCAGCCGGGGCAGGGGAGGCCACCAGGACGAGGCCAAGCCCCTGGGACCTGGCACTGCCACCAGCCGCGCCCTTCACCTGTTGGAGGCAGTGAGCCTCTCCGCCCCTGCCGGGAGAGCCCACCGGCTGGCTGGCCCGGCCCTCCAGGGACACGTGGCCCAGGTGTGCTGGCCACGGCCTGGGGGCTAGGGGAGCGCAGGACACCCGAGTGTCTAAAGCAGCTGGACAAGGGGGACGGAGACCAGCCGCTCCCCACCTGCAGCCCAAAATGCAGCATGTTATTAGTCCAAAGCGGTCTCTGAGGGAGGGTCAGCTCCGACAGGCTCTGGAAGGCCGCGGGCTGCAGGGAGGTCATCCCGGCCAGCGCTGTGGGCCGATTTCCACGGTGGAGGCAGCAAACTCAATCGACCCGGTGACCCGAGCTTTGGGCACACTATTGAAAGGCGATGAATTCGGTTTTCCAACCAGGGTTGTGCCTTCAGGGTGAGTCAGTTACACGGCCGACGGGCCGTGGAGCCGCGCTCACCTGCACACCTGCTGTCGCTGTTGTGCCCGGGGTGTGTGATGGGAGCGCGTGGGGCTGAGCTCCGGCGTCCTTGCAGTTGACAACCGCGTCCTGGACCTACTGCTCAAAGCACCTCCCAGGCTCCTAGCATAGTCCTGGGTCTGGGCACACCCCCATGGCAGTTACATTAGGCTCCAAGGCTTTTCCTGGGCAGCTGAGGCTTCTCCAGAAGCTACGTGCAAACCAGTCGAGGCACAGCTAGTTACTGTCTTACATAGTTGTCAGTGGCCTTCGTCTTATTTCCAAAGCTGGAACCATGTTGGCAGCAGATGTTCTGGCCGGAGTTTGACTGCTACCAAGTCCGGCGACTGTCCTCTGCGGCATTGTCCTTCAGAGTTTGCCAAAGGGGCCAGGAGCATGACTGGCCTCGGCTGCATCCCAGAGCGCCCCCACCCCACACTTCTGGCTTTGTCTTGGGGATTCTGAAGTATGGTCCGGGGCATGACTTGGGGTACACACTCCCTGCGTGTGTGGCTGTTGGCCGGCACCCCCACAGCCTTCTCAGTTAGAAGCTGCTTCCTTGGAGCAAACTGGGGCCCTTTCCAAGCAGCATAACGAGTCTGCTGTACCATTTTCCAAACCCCCTCATTTGCTAAGGCGCAGTGAAGGGAGCCGCCTTCTCTCGGGAAGCGGGGCTGTGGCCCAAGGCTGCCAGGCCCAGAGTCCAGGGATGAGCGTCACCCCCACCCTCCCCTGGACGGTGGCCGCTCCCCAGTGACTGTCTCCAGCTGAAAGGCAAGTGAGCTGAAAACCTAGAGCTGAGGACATTTTTTGTTTGGAGTCTGAAGTCTCTAGCGTGAGCTCAAGAATGAGAGTGGAGCAGGTGGGGGAGGCAGGATTGCCCTCACCGTGCGGCCCTGGCCAGAGGCATTTGTAACCGAGAGAAATGAAGCACTGACGGGAGGCAGGGCCCTCAGGCCGGGCGGCACGGGGCTCCCGTCTGGGTCCGGCCCAGCCTGCCCATAGGCAGCCCATAGGCAGCCCGGGTCATTCACTCTGGCAAACACCTTTCCTGTCCTCGGGGTGCTGAGCAGAAGGACCCAGGTAGCGGGGCGTTCCCAGCCCCCCAGACTAACCTGAAAACCTTGGCTCAAGACAGCACTGCAGAGTCTCTGTAAAGATGAGGCTGCCATTGCTGTTAGAGGCACAAACCATGGGCTTTCAAAAGTCTTGCTCGTGGGGCTCACGCAGAGTGGGGCCAGGCTGCTCCCGTGACACTGTCTAAGCAGACCCTGAGCTACATCTTCCGGCCCATTCAGGATGCCCACTGCTCTAGTCAGTCCACGCAGCGCCTGCCCAGGTCCCTGTTTTCACAGAAAATAAGAGTCAGGGTCTCTGTGACCCCGAGACCAAAGCGCCCATCCTCACCCGGGAGTCTTTTTCTCCCCACGTAAACAGTTTCACTTACAAGCGTCCTCGCATTTGCAGAGCAGGGCAGGAATCATGTCCCCTTCTACCCTCCTCGCTCTCCGACCAGGGGCCTGGACACTACACTGGCCTTTTTGTTTCAGCTGCTTCTGAGCGGGGAGGAGACGTGTGGTCCCCAGGGTGGCTGGGCAGGCTGCGGGAGCTGTCTGGCCCTGCCCAGGGCTGCCACCCACTCACGGGGGCTCCACAGACGACCCCCCCCCCGAAGTGGGACACAGAGGTGGACCCTCACGAACAGAGGCTAACAAAGGGACAGGGCTGGGGTTTCGCTGGGGATTTCTGACCTGACTACGGGAGCACAGGAGGGCGCTGGAGGTGGCCGAGACCAGGGCTCCTCTCTGAGTGGCCTTGGGACACAATTCTTCATCGTGGTGTGAACGCAGAATTCTCAGCATGTCTGCGTCCTTTTTGGTCCTTTTTGAAAGCGTGTGGTTGGCGTCAAGGCGATGCTGGCTCAGATCAGAGCGGACGGATGGATGCCATGCTGACTGTTCCCAAGACTCTCCAGCATCTCCCTCCTAGAATGAGCCTGGGTACAGGGGTCGGCACTTGTGTGTGTGCGTGTGTGTGTGAAGACAGGAATTTGCTCAGTATCACTTCCAACAGCAGAGCTGAGACCAGAGAGTAAAACTTGATAAAGAACAAGGTTTTGCCACGAATAGAATGTTTCTGCGGAGTCAGAACGCTGACGGCGTGACGACCAGGCGTGGCCCGGGCTGCCTCTCACAGCAGACTTCCCGTTTCTCTGGTGTCCAGGTGGTGCTGCGGGGCCCTGGGCTCTGCAAGGAGCAGGCAATGCACCAGGGGTCCCCCGCTTTAAGAGTGGGGAGATTAGTAGCTCGGGCTTACTGTACAGTCAGCTGCATGCTGAGTAAACAGGGCTTTTGCTACAGCAGGTTGTGGCTTCTCTAACAAGTCGCCTCAGTCCTGAATTGTCTCTGATGAGCCCCACCGCTGTCTCCTGTCAGTCTACCTGCCTGCAACACCTGGGGCTAAGTAGCAGGCTGTCAGCGGCTTCCTACACACGCACAGGCCCCCGCTAAGGCAGGGCGCTCTGGATACGTCATCATCCCTAAGCAGTGATGCCGTGGACGCCGCTGCTAACTTTGTGTAGGTACTGATCTGGCAGAACCACTGGAGACTTGGAATCTCCTTCTATGCTACTGTAAAAACTACCCAAGTGAAATGCCCCAGGGAGTAGCCTGTGGCCATCCGGCAGGTGAAGACCCCCACCTGGTCACTGGCTCCTTTGCTCCCCAGCCCAACGCCGACTGCATGGACGACCTGCCCACTGACTTCGAGAGCCCGGCAACCAACCAGATCACGGGCGCCAGCGACACCACCGTGCACGAGAGCTCGGTCACCTTGGACCCCGCCGTCCGGACCGTGGGCGCCTTACAGGTGGTCCAGGACCCAGACCCCGCCCCGCCAGAGGGAGACGCCATCTTCACCGCTAACAGTAAGTGGGGCTCCTTGGCTGCGCGGTGTTACCGGGGGACTGCAGGGGGTGGGGCGAACCGTTCGTGCGCGGGGCGTGACCCGGCGAAGCCGCCAGCTCCCGCAGCGGTGGAGGGACAGACGGCAGGCCTGGCTCCGTGTCCTGCCCCTCCCGGGAGGCATCCGGCTCTGGGAGCAGGGGCGGCTGAGCAGAGCAGCTGTCTGGTGGCCGTGGCTGAGCCGGGCTGGGCCTGCTCCAGTGGCTGCAGCCTCTGAATAGTGTTTGGGTCCCAGGCGCACACACCCAACCTTTGGGGTGCTCCTGTCCCCCGTCCTGTATAGGCTCTTTGATAATAGCTCTATCAGCATCAAATCTCGAGTACCTACTGTTCAGTCTAATACAGTAAAGGGTAAAAGTTTCAGGAGCCGAGAACATCTGTATGCAAATTAACTCACCTTGGAAGGTGAATGGGGCATGTTGCAATTTTCAGTGTTTCTTTCTCCTCCTCCTGCTAGAAACAACCTGTGTGCCTTAAAGATTTGGAAATAGAGAAACGCCGATTAAAACATTGTTTTTTATAGAATTCACAAAACCATGCTGACCTAAACATGAAAAAAAGAATGCAAAAATCACTCAATACCCACAACTCTAGGGAAATCATTATATTTTGCTGTTTTTCCTGATAATCTTTTGAGTCATGGGGCTTACCTTTGGAGTACTGGGATCTAGAACCTGCACAAAAAGTAGCCTGAAGCACCTCTGGCAAAAAAAAATCCTCCTGTGCAAGGTTGATTAGACTGGGTGTAGATAAGAATTCTGACTTTGAAACCCTAACTTCCAGACATGGGGGCTCAGCACTGAAACCCGGACCATTAGACAGCGAAAAGCTTTTAAAGGTTCAGAGTGACACTAGTGTTACTGCAATGTGAGTGCACAGGTAATTCAAGTTTTCTATCGCCATGGCAACAAATTTAACAGGCAAAGTTTACTTTTACTATGTTGACTTTACTGGGGAATACTGCACGGTCCACACCCCGGCGTGCAGTTTACACTCACCACCGTGGCTGCCGGGTTGAGAGGCTGACTTAGGGTCAGAGAAGCCTTCATCTTGATCACCACAACAAGCCTCTCATGTGGACCAAGGGGCAGCTGACCCAAATTAAGCAACAGGTTCTCTCTTCAGAGAGAGCCTATCCTGTAATTTCTCCACTCAGTGGGTATCTTCCATTGCCGTCACCCTACCAGCCCAGTAGGCAGGGGAGAAGCTCTGCTCAGGTTTCGCTAGCAGTTCAGATACTGATGGCTTAAACTTTTCTGAGCCCGTAAGAAGAGCTAAATCAGGCCCTCCCTGGTGGTGCAGCAGGTTAAAGTGCAGCACTAAGAAGCTAAAGCCACCTCAGCGTGCGGTTGATCCCCACCCCGGAACAGACCCACAGGGCGCGGCAGAGCTCTCCTGACCCGCCCGCTGCTCCCCTCAGCAGTGTACTTCGTCCATCTGCCTGTTCTGCTCCCCGCTCTGTCTCTGGTGCATCCTCTCACTGCCCCTGCACCTCTGGCCTGTACCCCAGTTCTGGATGCATAATAAGTCTTTTTTAAAAAGAGCTAAATCATACCCAGATCATTGTCCTGGCAATACCTTGATTATTTGAGAAAACATGTCACTCGCCAGCTCCCTTTTTTTTTTTTTTTTAAAGATTTATTTGTACATACAGAACTGGGGTACAGGCCAGAGACTCAGGGGCAGTGAGAGACTTCACCAGAGTGGGGAGCAGAACAGGCAGATCAACGAAGTACACTGCTGAGGGGAGCAGCGGGCGGGTCAGGAGAGGTCTGCCACGCCATGTGGTTTCCTCCGGGGGCAGGCGGGGATCGAACTCATGCGGAAGTGGCTTTAGCTTCTCAGTGCAGTGCTTTAACCCGCTGTGCCACCAGGGAGGGCCACCAGCTCCCTTTTTTCAAAGAGTGGCTACATGGCCCACCTCTGTGAAGCCCAGAGGAACACACAAAGGCCCAGAGGAGAGAGAGACACGCCTCGCCTATGTCCACATCACTCATCGCCCCGCTGGGTTTTGCCGAGCGCTGCTGACATACAGGCAGCTGGCGGATGTTTCCTGAGTGAGTCCAGAGGACTTGACCTAAGCTTGAAGCAGGGGCCTCTGTCCGCGACAAGAACGAGTGCAGCTGGTTTCAGAGAGCAACTGGCAAAACCAAGATACAGCAGGCGACACCGCTGTAGGCCGAGAAGGGGACGGGGCTAGCTGGTAAGAAAAGGAGCGTTCCTGGCGGGGCCTACCTGGCCCGTGCGTTCCGGCTTGTTCTTGGCTTATAGGAATCTACACCAGTGGCTGTAGATTCCTGGCAGGAAAAGTTCTCTGCTCTACACAGGTTGGTAAATTGCCTAGGGCGCTGATCACCAAAGCCCATCAGCACATGACTAAAAGCGGGCAGAGACTCTCATCAGCATTACTGCAGCCAGACACCAACGGTGTCTGAACACAGCGTAGGTGGAGGAAGGCGTGCAGCTGGGTGCAGGAGTGCGCCAGGTGAAGTGGACGGACGGGCCTCACCAGTCCGCAGACCCAGGACTGGCTAGGACGTGGGGACGGCAGCCAGCAGGTACGCCCACCCGCCAGCACTGCGCTGCCCTTTCTGACGCAGGGGCGAAGGCACCGAGGCAGCCGCTCCTGCTGCAGGGCACCGCGCCCTGAGGGAGGACGAGGGGACCCCGCTTGCTCCTTTCTCCTCTTCCCCCCTTTATCTAAATCTCTGAAAAGTCAAAAACGTTGGGCTCCTCCTTGCATTCTCACCCCTACCTGGCTCCGGGGGCCCGTCGCGTCCAGGTAGAGGTCTCTTCAGTTCTGAAAGGGGCGGAGAGCAGGTTGCCTGGAGAGAGATGGGGAAGCTGGCATTGAAGATGGCTTTCAGCTCCCAGGAAAAGGAAAAGCATTTGCAAAGCCAAGGCCATGAGAACTGTGGCCTTGGAGAGAGGGCGCCTGCGTGTAGGTCTGGTGTGGGAGCCCCCACCCCGGTCTCCTCCAGTCCCGCCCTCTCCTGCCCGCCTTGGACCGCCCAGCCCAGCTCAGACTGCAGACTGTGGCATTTGCTTCAGCAGGAAGAACAGCTAAGCCAGCAGCCCTGTGGTCCCTCAGTGTCCGGACGGGAGCCAGAAAGAGAAAGACCCAGAAGAGGAAGGCTTGCACCGCTCCCCAAAACACACAGTGCCTCCCACACGCCTCCGCCTTCCTGCCCCAGGAAGCTGCGGGCGCCACCCCGAGGAGAGCAGATCCTCCAGCCCGGCCCCTCCTGCCATCCTTCCTCCTCAACTGGAAGGAGGCAGACTCCCCACCCCGGGGTGCCGGTCTGGGAGCCAGAGAGGTGTGTGGTGCGGACAGAATCAAGATGTCCACAGGAGGGAGCTGCCCCTGCCACCGCCCCCAGCAGCACAGGGGACCACTGCCCGGGGCCCCCAGCCCCACTGCAGGTGCACTCAGGGTCTCATGCTGCGGCAGCCACTGTGGGTGCACTGAGCGGCTGCAGAACCTCCTGCCCTGCGTGAAGATCTGAGGCAGCCCAGAATGTTCTGCTCACTCCGAGGCACCCGACAGCCCTGACCGCCTCCTTGGGGCCCAAGTGCAATCGTCTCTTCCTGCTGAGCTTTCGCTGGGGACTCCGGCAGAAGGCGGCTCCAGCTTCCTCACAGGGCCTTCTGCTGCCCCGTCTGCTGAAGTTCCCACAGCCCCAGGAGGGCGTTGGGGCCAGCGCAACCCCAGTCCTGTCCTGCCCACTCTTCCACTGACCACCTCGGGGTGGCGGGGGCCACACTGCCTCTCTGAGCAGCAGCTGTCTCCCACCCCAGCCCCTCAGCCCTGCCCCGCAGACCCCAGACAGGCAGAGGTGAAGGCCCCAGCCAGCTCCAGCTTCTCTAGGACTTGAGCCAGTCTGAGTCGCGCCTCCAGGGGCCGGATTCAGAAGCCCCTGGGGAGCCCTCATCACCGGGTGTGGGCAGTGAGTGCCCCTGCTTCCTGCACACCCCAGAAGGAGCAGGACTCAGCACAGAAATTCCCCTCCAGACTCCCCAGGTCCCCGCCTTCCTTGCCTCCCCTCTCTCCTGTTCTGTCGCCGAGTGGACAGCGAGGCCAGAGTCCCCTCTGACGCAGGGGCCGGGCATGGGGCGAGGCCGGCTCACGCCCTTTGCTGCCCACACCTCTTCCGTGGAAAGGGGGGCAGAGAAGCCACCCCAGGCGGCTCACCCTGCACCTGCTGGTTGTCTTAGCTGCCCTCACTCGCGGCCACGTGTGTTCTCTGGAAGAGCCTGGAGACAGGTCAGCCTGTGGGGGCGATGTCACTCTGGCAGCTCTCCTGGGACAGACATAGTTGTGAAAGCACAGCCAGAGCTGCAGCCCAAAAACAGCTCGTTTTAGGAGGAAAAATAAGTTGCTAACAGCCTGCACTGCCATCACCGAGAGCTCCCCAGGGACACACACGCCACGCTAATTATGGAAGAAACTTCCAGACTGTTCATTCAGAGACTGGGTGTCATCTCTGGAATGATTCACTGTCTCATCTGAGGCGCTCGATGTAGCCCTCTGGGGATGCTCCGTTCCTGCAGGCTGAACACAGGGCCGGCTGTGACAGCCACGCCGCGCTGTTCTGAATTCTGGACGGGGTGTGTGGGAGCGGTGCTGAGGCCTGCGGACACTCCGAGGCCACGGGGCCCCACAGCCCGCTCTGATCGCCGCCCAAGTGAGACCAGGACGAGGGGGCGCGGGGGGCCTCGGAGCCCGCGCGGACCTCCAGGGTTGACCTAGGACAGCAGAGAAGATGGGAGGACCGTGTGGACGGCAAGCGTCCGCTTTCAGAGCTGCTTGCTGTGGCGGTGGGTAGCAATGCCAAGCTTGGGGTGACTGCAGGATGCACGGTGTACCCAGATAGGAGCGCGTCCAGCTACCACATTCCAGGGTGAGGACCGAGCGTGTAGCCACGGCTGCTGTTCCCACTCGCGTCAAAGCCATAAATGGCAA